CGTGGACACCCGGTATAGACGGTATCGAACATGAGTTTCATCGTTCGTTAACAACGTTTTCGAGTCCTCAGGAGTACCGAGTTAGGTATAGAGTACACAACGTATCCTACGGATACGTGTGTCCCAGTAACTGCAAGAAGGTTAAGAATTCAGATACAATCTAAACTTTTATTTTCAGGAAAATATTAAAAGATACTTTTTGTAGTCCATCAAATATTGCATTTTTTTCATATTATAATGTACTTAAAATATGGTATCCACCATTTTCTAAGATCGTTAAACCTTTACGTATTTAATTTACAGGTACCATGCTGATCGAAATTAATTTTTACCGAATGAAAATTAATAACACAATGCAATATTATAGCGAATGAACAAAAATTTAATAACTTTTTTCAACTTTACATAAACTTCGCACAATAATACGATTTCATTTCATATGAAAATTATATGTTATCCACCGTGTGGTATCGTTTAAAACATTCTCCAATGCGAAGCCTTGATTTTCTAGGACATTACAAAAGTGGTTAGTTTGACGCCTTCCTCTCTTAAGTTTTCGGTTGGACCATACCGAACAGTCTTTGTCCTTTACGATTTCTTGTTGTTAATATTTTAAGGAGGAAAAATGTCGAATGCGCTTAAAACAAAACAGATTTATTAAGAACTGTACGTAACTTCGATGCATGTCGATTTACTATGAAATGTGATCTAAACGGTTTTTTTTTCTTTTGATGGTTGAGAGTAGACATACGACCGAAATGATACTTTAATTACTCGCGAAGGGAAGGTAATCATTCAAGAAAGAAGGATAAAGATTTAATAACAAGTAAAGTCGATTTCAGAGTTGACAAGAGATTCAAGGAATTTCTACGCTGATATTGCATCAGTGGCGAAACTTTAAATTGAAACGACGTAGGCGGAAGCAGCCAACGAAAAAATTCTCGAGAGCCTCGGGATAAATTTCTTGGCGATTCCGTCGCCATACCATGTAAATTACCTGGGTCCAAGTTCTTTCTTCGAAACTTCCTCGAAGCGAATCGAGCACTCCTTCCTTTTGTTTCTCGCGTTCGGGAAGATTGCCATCGAACAAAGTACGTGCGAGATTTATTAACAGAATCGCACAACTGGCGTGTTCGCGGATTTATCAATTGTTTATTCCCCTTGGGAAAATCCTGATATGTATCTACGATACCTAAAAATCCTATTTATGTTCGCTTTTCTTAATTGATAAAAGCCGATAAGCCTTTCCACGACATTTTAATTGTTTATATTCTACGCTCCATCATTTTATCATTTCGATTTATTCATATCTATATCACTTCTACACTTTAATTAGTTATGCATTAAACATTATTTCAATCGTTGTCGGCATCGGCATCTTTAATGGTTGTCTAAGATTACAAAAATTCAAGTAATTTATTACATATTATCAATGTGAATATCGAATGAAGAAAATAAATCGTGCAAATGAAAAATAAAGAAATTTCTAAACAGAATTTTTAAAAGTGACAGCCACTAGTGTACAGAATATATTTAACAAACTTGAGTATCAGAGAGATTGGTTCGATAGATTTTTCTTTTATCTTGACAACCCGATGAAAAATGGTATTTCGAAAAAAACGCGTTTAATGCTTTCACACTTACTTAACTTTACTATGAAGTCTATTACTTTGGATCAGCTGTAAAAGGCGAAATAATTTGAATAACCTACTCAATTTTTAACAATGCCTTTTTAAATAAATTTACTATCGATTAAAATTGATTTTTTGAAATTATCACATCAAAAAGACCTCTTATGTATATGAACGATCGTTTCTTCTATACCGAAGTAAATTCGTATCACCGAAGAAAACAGTCGAATAAAATAAACTATGCAACGTTTGTATAGTATTTATTACAACATTTATTTTTATTTTAAATAAGCATTTCCATCTCGCTTCATTTTGCATTCTTTGCAAGAGTCGTCGGAATTAAAATTGTCCTATTATTTGTAATTGCTCGTTACGAACATTGAGAACGTTAATTAAATGCAAATGACATTACCATTTGTTTACGGCAAACGGTGCAATATTTGGCAACGCGAATTAGCGATTGAAACTCGACAAACGATCGATATCCACCGCACGCATCCTCAACATCGCATGTGCTTGTGCACAGACCAACGAAAATGGTTACGCGTGATCGCGAATATTCATGGTGGCGGACAACGAGCTCGTTTATCTCGTGAAACGAATTTCACGTAACCTAGATTGAAAAGCTCGCAAATTTCGCGCGCGCGTTTGTCTTGTGTTGGATATTTTTTGTCGACGCGAGCCACGGCCTTCGGATTTTCAGAAGTAAATATGTACAGTGGGTCAGAAATGTATTCGCACATCGTAGTTTTTTTTGAAAATAACTATCCGCAAAAAGTAGTACAATACATTAGTATAATACATAATGTTTCATTAATACATATACAGAAACAATATATTGACTTAAACGAATTAATAATTCGTCACTCAAAAATAACGCATAAAGGAACGAGAGTTTCGTAGTCAAGTATTGGATCGGCGGAATAAATTTACAAGAAGCACTAAATGATGAACGTCAGGTTAATGTGCTACTTCTTTATAAACTAACTCATAGCTATCTAATGACTAAAGGAGGACCTCCATACTGCACAAACTTTAATATTAAAATCACAGTAAAACATATGCTAGAAAAATGTCCAATGCATAATATTCTATGAGAAATACGAAACCAACCAACCACTCTGAAGGTCAGCTAAAATGACAAGAAATGTATGTAAAAAATTATATCTTATTTAATTATATCTTTAAAGAAATATAAACAGTTATTGTTAGATGTAAGAATTAGTTCTTCTAAGCATAAATCATTCCACATTTATTTTGATTATATTATGACTCACGTATGTATATATCAATATTCAACATACAATTCACAGTGGTCACTAATGGCTTACAAGCTGATGCGACAATAAATAAATAAAAAATCTTAAGCAACGTTGAAAAATTGTTGCCACCGCATAGCATGCGTAAATTCCTCCATAGTATGCCAAACTAATTAGTTTTGGTGGTAACAACGCCTAGAAAAATATTCAATACAAAATCTCTGTAACACAACATAATACCATTCTATTGATAATCCAGATAGTTGATGTGAGATGTTACATTATATATTTTCATATCTTCTGCTTAAATAATTTTAATGACAAACTAAGAAACATACAAATTTTTCATACAACTATCCTTGTTAAAAAGAAATAAATACAATTAGAAGTAAATCCTATTCCGTTTAAGTTTCCAATTTAATTGTTTATGTTGTTCGTGGCACTAATACCAAACTTTACAAAGAAATGCTCGTGAAATGGAAACGTGTACATTTCTATCTAAATATATAACTTCTTTTTGTTTCTGAAATGTCTGATACTAGCATAATTTTATTACCTACGATATAAGTTTTACATTTAGCTTTATTCAATTTATGGTAAATTAATCATACATTATCTCAGATACTTATATGTATGTATATTAAAGAGGAAGAAAAAGTGAAACATTAAATATAATCCAAAGAAATATCGTTCTTTATATATCAAACGTATTCATAATTTCTATCGAATTAAAATTATAGGTATTGAGAACAAACAGATCCATCTGCAATTCTCACTTATTAAAGTTTCTTCTATTTTTAAAAAAGTATCGCATTAAAAATGATTGATATATTTGTTTTTCTTGATTTCCAGCAAAAACGATAAAAACGTAAAATGTAGAAAACAGAAAAATTACTTTGCGACTGTTTTTTCTAGGCATATTTGTTGATGAAGTCTTCTTCTTTTGGCGTACTAGCAGTGATTGCCTTTGTCCGTCAGGTTGAAAGGAAGCATTTTCCGCGATGAATGGAGAATCAAAAATTATTTAACCTGAATTGCCAGTAGTATCTCATGTACCAATAATATTTATGCTTCGGTGTGATTTTTATTTGTTATTATCATGGGGATAAGCTTGCATATGCTTATTCACTATTCTATTCACTAATTGATCTGTTTATCTGGATTCAATAATATTCTAGAATGTACGCGATTATAAAAAAGCAATATGTTTTTCTCTAAGCATTGACGATAATAGGAAGCAATGAAGAAATACCATTTTCACTATATCAAAGCAAAGGGTTCATCTTCATGAGCGAAAATCCGAATCCTGGAACAAATATTATTTTCGCTACATCTCCGATAACCTCTTGCAACGGGGCTCCATTGGTTTGTGTTATTACGAAGACCAATACATCATCATTTACTATTTCCATACGATATAGACACTTTCAACTGCCAACTTCGTTCGTCCATTTTACATTTCACTTTTGCTGCTCCACTTATGAGTTGTAGGCGAAAAAAAAAATTCTGAATTGCACGGAATACTTATCGGAAATTATTAATGATATTTTTTTAAATGAATGACATAAATATTAGAGACTCCTTGCAAACAATGTGTCAGATTAGATGTTTTTTTTTTATTCATTTCTAAACATATCTAAAATTGTAATTCGAAAGTTTCTGAGAATATAGAATAATTACTTGTAATTGTGTATTTTTAAAAATTTTTGAAACAGACCCAACAGAACAATCGACCCACTCCCCCCTATTTTAGTTACGCTTATTTATTGCCTTTTGCACATTATTTGTAGTATTTTTCTGTTAACATAATTAATTACTCCTACTATCTGTGCGGGGAACGAAAGCATTTGTTAAATTATGTAAGCGAAACTCTTCAAGTGTTACGAGTCATTCGTGTATTTTCTATTTTTTCTTTGCAACTGTTCAAATCGTATACAAATGATACTATTCTTTATTTACATTGATGAAATTTGAGATAAAAGGAAATCAGAAACGGTCCGAGGGTTCCAAAAAAGTCAAAATAAGCAAGAATAACGCTTCTATGATACGCTTGTACGCAATCAGACAACCATTTGACGCAGTCAATGATAGTTAATGCGATACATGCTGCCGGTAATCAAACAGTCAAGTCAGTGACGTGCGTCGTGTAGCTCCGAATCCTCCTTTTCCGCGATCGACTCGTTGCTATTAAATATGAAATGCTTCGTATAGTGAATAGCAAATTAATATAAAAGGTGAGCGTCAACGTTCCGCGAGTATATTTATTCACTGTGCTCTATATTCACTCTTATATCACAAAAGAATAATTCAGTTTAATTTATGAATAGCTACGGAATTAGAAATTAATATAAATACCCGACAGTTGTGGACAGAAATGGTAATATATGAAATTTGATTGAAATAAAAGATAAATAAGACTAACGTATAGTGATATTTTATTCTACAATTAAAATTATAATTTTATTTAAAAAGTAACGGATAAACAGTTTAATTGTAGGAGTGGGTAGGTAATATATGCAATAACCAACTTAGTTTTAGAGATATGAGTTTATAATAAAGAAAAATAGTAAAAAATAAGGTATGTACAAGCTTTGCATTTCACATTTCATTTATCTGTTTCTGAATCATCTTCGTTGCAACCATCTTTATTTTCATTAGACCTTAGACTCTAACAAATAGACGAAATGTAAAATTAAAACTTACATACATATACAGGGTGTCTCGTAACTAGTGATACAGGTGAGTAGGGGATGATTCTAGGTGAAAAGTTGAATCGAAAATGTAGAATAAAATTTTTTCATATGATGCTTTATTTTCCATAAAAATAAGTTTGAAAATTTGTCGAGTACACGTGTACTTGATTTAGCTTCAGTTCCACAAATTTTACTATCTTACTGTTCCTAGTAGGAGAGTACTTTCGTGCTCCTTGCAATTTTAGACATGTAAAATGATAATCTTCCTTCATAACAACAGGAAAATGCGAAATAATAATTTTCCTTCCTTACAATTTTTACAAACATTGTCAACATGATCATATCTCTTACGTCGATTCTTCTTATGCTTATGATTTACAATGAAATCCGTCAAGCTGAAACTGGTCCAAGTGCACGCGTACTCGGCTAATTTTCAAACTTATTCTTTTCGAAAATAAAGCGTCGTATGAAAAAATTGTATTCTACATTTTCGATTCAATTTTTCGCGTAGAATCACCCTCTATTCGCTTGTACCGCCAGTTTCGGAACACCATATATAAATAATTCATGGCTACTTTTATTTAGTATAAGTTTATGTTTCTAGAATTGAGTTAGTTATCGAACATTCCTTTAACTGCGTCTTTAAATTCAAAGTGCAAATCGCGGATTCGAGGGTCAATCATTCAGATAAATGGTTGTTTATCTATTATTCAAATAAGAATTTTCTCTATAGCGCAATGACTGCAACTATCAACGTCGATCATACAATTATGTTTTGCGAGCAACTGGGTGCATTGCTTCTACGCTTTCGTAGGTAATTTATGTACAACTGCCGGTTTAATTAAAACGCCACGCAAAAGCGGATTAGGCATTAAAATACCGTACCGAGTAATTGTGTCTACGAGGATCATGCCCTAATTTTAAAGTTTACACGAAGAAATCCGTCGAATCGAAGATCGATTCGTTGCGAGCGATCTCGTTACCGTGAAACGTAAATCTTCGGTTGTAGAAAAAACGTGGAACGAACGAAATAAAGCAAAGCAATCGTCTCGGTAGGTTGCAACCACTTGCGACAATTAGTAGAAATTTATCGCAAGGATTGCTCGGTCTACGCGCCTCATTCCACAAGCAAACTCGAATCAGGGAGAGCCCAGTTATTGACACACGGCACCCAAAACCGATAACGGATACCAAGAATCCGCTATTACTCTCTCTCTCTCTCTATCCGCATGCCAAACGAAGCTGAGGAATACAGTGTGTCCCATAACGAAATGTAGAAACGGCAGACTACTAATTCATGAAATAAAGAACAGGTGATCAAAAATGTGTGGCAATACCAAAATCAAGAAAGGTCATGAGATAACAATTTATTCTTTTTAATCCTTTGCGATCTTACGTCGAGCGAGGCTCGACGAAAATGTACTGAAATCAGAAAATTCGGAATGCAAAGGATTAATTGCTGAGTGCACATTTGGGTAGCTGCTTAATTTCGATGTCTCGATCAATGTTGTTGGCCTTCTTCAAAAATAATAATAATTATCAAGTAATTACACTTAAGAACTAAGTGTAGATTCGAGCATAATAATTATTACCAAACAATTAATGACTTGTCGGATCAGATATATAATTACTCTTTACATCATTCGAAAAATGTTCTCGACTGAATACAAACGATCTAGAAAGTGAATTTCTTTCTACATTCTTAAAAGACTGTTCGGTTCTTGTCGCACAGGTTCCAATTAATACTAAATAATAATTTGTTCATTACAAAACGTACGTAATCACTCTTTAATATAGTTTCATAACTAGAAATATAATAATGGGTAACAAAATTTAAATTGATATTGATAGAATCACAATTTTGGTAGCAAATTCTATCTTCGAACAAAGAAGCAGTTGAACTGTTTCAAACTGTTATAACCGCCCACGCGCTCCACTGACATTTGAATTCAATTTTCTCGAAAATGAAGGCTCGAAAAGAAAATCATTATTTCACATGTTTCTGTTGTTAAGAAAGAGAATTATCATTTTATATGTCTCAAATTAATGAAAAAGTAATTTGTAACATCCATCGCAATATTATGATTTTCTTTATTTTTATTGCTTATTTGCAAACTAAATACAATTATACACTTACGATGCTTTATATATCGATAGTGTGAATACGTCATCGATGAACAAAGTATCCAATGCACCTTGTAATAAGTGTTATTTTCCCGTTACATTAGAAGAAATTCAAATGTTCCGATGATTGTAAAATGTTAACCATACCACGAGTACGTGTACGACCACAAATGAAAGTATAAATACACAGCCACAATTGTCTATTATTCTTCCAATTATTATTATTATTATTATTATTATGTTCAAGATATTAAGTGTTGTTAATCATTTATAATACAAATATTTATTTTCTAATTTCCCATGTCATGCCACGTTATGAGAAATTATGAACAATATATTTAGGTTTTGTCTATTATTACAGTTAAAATAGGCTTCTTGAAATTATCAGACGATACTGTGATTTTGGTTTCTTCCGCCATACCTAGACTAAAAATTTTGTTCCTTAAATCGACATATAACTCTGTGGTCAAAATAATGCACATCAGATACATCGAAAAAGTTTTTATAGACAAAGTACTATTGTATCGTGTTATTTCATACAGAGATGCGCTTTTCTGACAATCACCAGTGAAATTTGATAGTGGAATGTTCTTACATGAATAAAAATGTGCTTGGAAAATAAAATTCTTACTGATCTTGTACAATCCTGTCGAAGACCTAAATAAACATATTCGCTTCCAAATAAGCTGCAATGTACTAAACGTATTTAAAGATTAAGAATACTGTGTCTGCTGACAACGTTCTTGCAGAGCTGCCTTGATATTCGTTTAGGAAACGTCAAATTTTCTCGGTTTTAATACTCAAAAGATTCGTAACAAAACATTTGGAAACTGAGAAAACTTGATGCCTCCTAAACAAATACTAAGACAGCTCTGCAAGAACGTTATCAGCTCTTATCGCAATGAACCACGTTCCGTTCATTTTTTATAGTACATCCTGTATACCAGGAACAGAGGGAGAGATAGACAAAGACGAGGGAGCAGTCGAACTCGAGGAATTTCCCGATTGCCATAACCGATTCCTCCGATGGTATGTACCTCCGTTCGACGGGCTATCGGAACGCGGAGTTCCTCGTTCGCTTTTGGTATTGATTAGCCATCACTTTCAGATGACGCCTCTGCCCCGATGGGTGTTGCTGGCGTTGCTGTTGGCCGGCGCTGAGGCGCGTCCTGGCGATTACGCATGCGTTCGGTTGTGCCATGCACAGGACAGGGGCCTGGATGTCACGGGAGTCTGCGACCATCAGCAGAGACTCGTCCTTCAGTTCAGCGGAGGCCGGTACCCGACGCAGCGCCTTCTCAGGCTCTGCCTGATCCCGTGTAGCGGTCTTGGGTCACGGAACGATACCGTCTTCGATGGCTCGCAAATCTGTCGCGTCATCAGGGAGTCGCTTATCTATCGCCAGGGTTGTTCATGCAAACCTCCGGCAAATGGCAGACCCTGGGGCCTCCGAGCGAATCCCCCATGGTCGAAGAAGCCGAATCCAGTGAACGGACTGCTGAGCATGTTGATGAAGATCGCCAGGGTCCTAGCTGCAGTTTCCGTTGATCACGCGAGCGAGCCTGGTACCACCGACCTTCGGGACGGTAAAATGAAGTTCTCCGATCGACTGGACAACGGGACGGACTTCGTGGACGCTGAGATTGCGAATCCGACCACCGATGCTCCCTTCGGAGCAGATTGGACGGAGGACTTCACCGACTGGGAGATGTGGTGCATGGCCCAGTGTGACAACGGACGGTGCGGCAATTCCTGCAACCTTAATCTCAAAGGTTGAAGAGAGGATGTTCTCGAAAACGAGAAGAGGACGAAGGAGAATGGGGCGAAGAAGGCACAGGCACGAATTTACATATCTCGTAGGTTAGCTGGGCCTACGACGCCCGGTAGCGTGTAAGGTTAGTTTTACTGGGTAATACACGTTAACATTTCATTTATTTCTCTGTCGTTCGTCTTCCGCGTTCGAATAAGTTGCTCATCGTTCGTGGAAACATCCTACGTCGATAAATTTGTACAGAGTTTCGCGAAGATTGGAATAGAATTCTGGTACCGGGGAAGCTGTCGATGAAGAACTTGAACGTTTTTTCGAAACGATCGCTGACCAAGATTTTATCGCTCATACTCGCCTGTCGTTGATAGCTTAACCGCTTTTAGGCTTAAGAGTTCTCTACGCTAGGTCCTAGTTCACGCGCTCCGACACACGGGCGAATTAACACACGCCAAGGAATAGGCTTGTCGAATAAGGACTTTCCCGCGCGTTATCGACACCGACGTTTTTCCAGATATTACGGGTACGCATTCGGATAAACGCAATGGAGGACACGTTGCGACGCGCGTTATTCCGATCGAGGCGTGTGAATAGGACACCGACGTGCAAATGTGTGTATTATGCAATAAACGGTATTTCTACGCGAGCGCGATGCAACGTTGAACGTGCGTCGACGCGATCCATGTACGTCTAGATCTATATGATAATTCGTACCATAGCGGATAACTTTTACACGATGCCACGTAACCGTGTGTGCGTACTTAACACTTTAGCTACCGAAAGAGAAAGGAAAGAGTTTCCGACTTAGAAGAAGACTATGTTACTATATTAATTGAGAATGACGTTCTGCATTCTATTGTTGGGTGAATTAAAAGCCTCGTTCGTTTGTCCAAATTGAGCATTGTGAACAGATAACAGGTACAGTTTACAGGTTACAGTGAGTAAACACTGAAATTAACCCATTAACTACCAGGAAAAAGAACATTTTGCACTGCGCGCCAAGATTTGATACAGGTGCGTAATCTGAGCTATTACTTTTCAAATAAAATGTGATATTAAATTTGTTATTTAAAAGAAAATATTATTATATAAAATTTACGTTCCCCCTTTCTAATAATTCCTAACTCAAACTACTATAAACTCGTTCCGTGATTAATTAAAATCAATCTAAATTTGGAGTAAAAACTACGAGATGTGACGTACTCGGCAGTCTTGATACATACGCTTACTACAAAATATGTCGTAGTTGACAGTAAATGGGTTAATTCATCGTGATACAACCACGAGCACTGCTGGAACATTGTTTATTTCTGAGAATAATTAAAGAAATTTATTTTAGATCATCCACTTTGAGTAAAATTTCATATACATACTTTGTACTCATTCTTTTATTTTGTAAAAGCAGTGGGACGAAGACTTTGATACTAAAATCATATTCGTCGTAGAAAATAAGCAGTAGATATACGTATGGTTTAAATGGATACAACTTGGTCTACATGCAGGCAACAGCTTATTCTATAATCACACAAACAAAATTTACAGGAAATAAATACTGTCAGATTCATAATTTAAATAACACTGTAAGCTCACATGACTCTGAGACAACATACCTATTATAACTTTTGATTTCTGATTTAATTCTATCATCGATATGTGTGTATTGTGGTTGCAGTATAATCGAATGTTCGACGTACAATCTGAGTGCAAGAATTGTCTTGCTACTTTTCACACCAGACGAATACAGATGAACATGTATGCACATTAATATTTTTCTTTGAAATTATATACCGTTATTAGTGTTTATCAATGGTCTTATCGTAAAAATGTTTATACAATTTTCCTTCTATGTTTGTTGTGAACAAAATTGTCTCCTTCGTAAACCGATTTTTATTTAAAATGCACCGATATATACCAATTCTATATACGTATACTTCTCATCAAACAATTACTTTTCGAAAATCTGGATCGTTTCTTTCAAAGAATTGTAATTTACTAAAAATATTACCCAAAAGTGCCTGAAGCTGACTACCTACTGGCGCGAAACAATACTCGGAGTGTAAAAGCATAAAAATCCAACGAATAGGATCTCGGTAGATAAAGTGTTAACAAAGCGTTAGCGTTTAAGTTAATTGTCCGAGCGACGAAACGAAATCCATGTCTTCCATTTTGTAGACTGCTGCTCAGCGTGCGTTCGAGCATCTTAAATGTATAACCTTAAGACGCGAATAAGGTGAGCACGCGTGTATCGATAGTTATCGTTTAAGCGATTAGTAGACGGCAGAGCGTCGATTTCGACGAGGGGAATCCGGCGATCGAGAAGAACATGATCGTCGTGTTTCTCCCGCGAAACTACGCTGCCTTCGTTTATTTATAGTGTGCCGTTAAAAAACGTTGTGACGCGACAATAAGAAGTAGATTCTAGTATGCCTTGTGCGATGCAAAACCTTGTCCTTCGTGCACTTTTGACCGTCCATCCGTCTGTCGAAAGGTTATCACGATAAAAATTATGATGTTTTTACGGTATACATCAGAAACGGAAGCGTAGATGATGGAAGAATAAACTATTTTCTCTTTTGTGAAAATTTATCCGCACATCGAAACTACTCAGAAGTGGTCGAAAGTGTGCGTAGGACTACGACTTCAGCGGATCATTATCTGGGCTATAGATTTAAGGGAACTTGCTTTGTAAATATTTACACGAATAACGCCTATAAATAATTGGAGAGCCTATATTAATTAGCGATCATACCGAGGAATCGAAACGGGGTACCAATTTATAAGTTTAGAAGTTACTCTCTTGGAAACTATTCGTCGTCAACCTTATTGTATTGTACTCTTATACGTATTCATAAGGGATGTGTGGTTGCTGCCGGTAAGCAGTCATACAAATAATGAAACTATGCATGTATCTACTACACGGAGAATGCTGTACTCAGAAATGTATACGTGGAACAAGTTCTTCCACGTCTCGATCTATACCTCCAAAGCGTCTTTATTAATATTGTGAAACTTGCATAAATATATTTATATTATTTATGTTCACGATTGTAAATTGTGTATATATATATGGTATAAGTAACTAATATTCGCATTATGTTTTGTCATACGATAAATAAAGGACATTTGCCGTAAACGAGAAACTTCTTTATAATCTCTAAACGTTATATTTCAGGATTATCGTAAATATCATAACAAAAAGGAATCCACGATCCATGAAAATAATAATTTTACTGCAATTTATGGCTAGAATGTTAGATTTTATAAAATCAAATGCTAATGTAGGGAATGTAAACTGCAGATCTGCCATTCTTATATTGCTCTAAAATAAAGTAAAGCGAATCTATTTTGGAATAATATTTAAAAAAAAGTTACGGTATTAGACTTATTTTCACAATGTTTATCTGTAACTTAAGGACTGAGATATATTATTGTAGTAATGTATATCATACAATATACACATATAAATATAGTCAGACCCATAAATATTCGTACCATCTAATGAAGAAATTTACCTAAATTAATTGATAAGTTTGACGTTTCGAAATAGATATTTCATTATAAATATGTACAAGAATAAACTTTACATATGTGTATATGTAAGTCTGGGGTAAGTTCGCAAAATAAGAAAATTAATTAAATATTCGGAGAGTGTCGTGACACAATTCATTTTCCATTACAGTTGGCCTGTATAACATTGAATGATTTTTAATTATAGATCATTGTATTCGGCTTGAAACATTCGATCAAACTATATATATATATATATAAGAAATTATATCATCCCATTTAAAAAGTCAGAGTTGACTTACATATTTCCTCTACGACTCTACCACGTTACTTGCCCCTCGAAACCAAGAAATTCATGTGTGCCGCTTTTTTTTCTATTGTTAAAAGCAAGCATATATAAAAAAACCATGAATGCAGTAAGGAAGACTAGGATCGATTGAAACTTGGAACAATAGAAACAAGTAAAATAATTTTAAAATGATTAGTGATAAAGACAGCGCGTCGAGGGGAAAAAGGACCAATTTTCATGTCTAAACCTTTCACTTATTAGTAAATAAACCGATTTGAGCACTTGAGACGACTTTATTTTGGCGTTTTGGTTTTTCAACGCGAAAAGTAAGTGTTCTAACTGTTTTTATTTTATTCATTAATCCAAAACTGTTGTTTCTTTTTATGTGTAATTTCCATTATCATAACTATGAATACCCTCGTTGATTTTAGAATGTTAATTAAATACTTGCAACAATGAAGTTGGGGCAATTGAAACAACTATTTTGGGATCAATTAAAAGAAAACATTTTATGCTTGACACCCGAAAATTTTTTCAAGCAATTTTTCTAAATCTTGTATGATTTTTGTAAATCTGATTGATGTGTTTAATTTAGACTGTATTCGGACCTGCAGCACTATATTATTGCCTTAATGTGCTTTATTATAATATTAAGTTAAATTAATGACATTGATTAATAAGAAACTTATTTTATTAAGAAATAAAACTGATTATTTGAATATATCTTTTATTTATAGATGTTTCAATTAATCCCAGGCACTAGGTCGTTTGAAACGTTTGTTGAGATTCTTCTAAAGTTCTAATTACTTTGATAGTATTTATAAAATCGAATCAATAATGCTTCTTTTAAACTACATGATCGCTCTATAGTAGAAGCCTTTCACTAAACAGATAGGATATAAAATTAAATCATAATGAGCTATTTTATCAAACACGTTCCAATTAACCCCAGCTCCCCAATTTGGAAAATCGTAGACTTTTAGTAACATCTATTCTAAACGTTTCACGCCATGCGATCTATAAGTAAATTATCTACATAAATAGGTTTCACTTGTGAAAGATTAGTTTGCGAATTTGTTTGATATTGTGCGTATATATTGTTTCATTCGTCAGTACTATAATAGCGAGATTCTTGAATTTACTAATCGTACCGCCTTTGGTACCATACCGGTAAAGTAAATTTAAATAAAGATAAATATGGTTTTCAAAGAGAAACGAAGAGTGCGCTTCAAAACCATTCATTATTAACGAAGTCGATAATTCAGTTCGCGATACACAAATACTCATCGAATCTTTCACATTCCTTCGGCTGCAAATTTAATCTTCTGTATCTGGCTATGGTTACATAGTCTCGCTTATAATGTCAATTTTGATCCAGTCAATAAGTTCACGACCTTCAGCATGAGACCAAGAAATGAATGGCAGTGACATCTTGCGCAATCACCCTTAAGTAATAGTGAGACATGTCGCATGTACCAAGTTTTGCAAAAATGTTGGGTGAAGATGGGAGCAAGTTTATTACGATTATCTTGTTTTTGACGTTTTTCTGCCACAGAACGTCTTCGGAATGCACACAATTATCGCCTTGCTCCTGTATGTTGTCTAACGGGCAAGGATACAATTTGACAGAACTCGGTAACTCAGGGTCGGCAGATATAGTATTCTTAACCTTCAAATACGTTTAGTATGTTACACCTTATTTGAAAGTGAATGTTTCCTTGTAGGCCTTTGATAGCATTGCAAAACATTAATCAGAGTCTTACTTTGGAGGTACAGTTTCATCCATGTACAAACATTCCACTATCAAATGTCACTGACGAATGTCAGAAAGGCGCATCTGTAAGAAATAACACGATACAATAGCACTTCAACTACAAAAGCTTTTTCGATGTGTCTAATGTGCATTACTTTGACCATAGTTATGCGCCAAGTGGGGCAACAAAACTGTTAGTCTAGGCACAGTGGAAGAAACCAAAATAATAGTATCACCTGATAATCTTAAGGAGCCTGTTTTAAGTATAGCTCATAATAAGTATACAACAATAATAAGCTTAATCTGTTGCCATACATGCAGTACACAATTCACAATAAATTCTGTCAACAACGACAAGGATTATGTAAGTTTCATGTGTTCCCTATGAAGCATAATCATATCTAATTTCTCATGAGGTAGCATGGCATTGGAAATTTGGAAGTAAATGTTCCTATCACAAATAATTAACTACATGTATCTCTTAATTTATTTTATTTTTTGGTTTGCTGGTGTTAGCTTGTCTTATTCAAAACCAAATTAGCTCATGAAAACATTGGATTTGATTTACTGAAGAGTCATGCTGTCTCTTGAACAAGAGAAGACACTGTTTTATACAGCCAAATTTTTTCTTGTTTCAGCACATGCTACTAGTATCTCCTTTCTCTTGTAAAGTACAGTTAAGCACAAAAGGTCTTTCCACCGGCTCTATGCTGGTTATCTTTTTCTTTGTATTTACTGGAATGTATTTCATTGGTGGAGCAATAGCATTAAAATTGTTGAGAGGAGCAACAGGTTTAGAGATGATACCAAATCATGAGTTTTGGGTGGAGCTTCCTTCGCTCATTAGAGTAAGTTCATAAATGACAATTTGCACCTTATACTATCTAACCTGGTATCTTGCTCAGAATTAATAGTTTTCTTCTTTTACAGGATGGCATTGTTTTTACTTTTAACTGTTGTCGAGCAGATAGCTACGAAAGAATATAGATATCTAAATCTTCTTTATTTATATTTTTACTAATATTGTTTGAGCTTAATTCTATTTCATAATTTAAAATCCAGCGTTTGATTTCGATGAATTATATTTTTATGATTAGCATTACAATGTACATACATAAAAAAAGGAATGTTTAAATTTCACTCTGCTTATGTTAACATTTACGGAGGATTATGTTATCGAAAATTCTCCATTGCAAGTTTACAAAGGGAAGAAAAGTATTTTCTATGACACAATTTTCTGGTAACTTTATAGAAGAAATATGTGATATTTAACGCGGCAACGCTCGTACGTCGGAGGTTGTTACAAATATATATATATAGAATTCATTACTAATTTTTATACGTGAATTTGTTAGTGCAAATAAAGAAGAAATTTAAACAAATAAATTGTTTATGCGTGCACAGCGTGCGTTCGCGACACACCGTGTACTCGAATCGACTCGATACAGAGAATACCAGTGATTTCATGACATAATATTTTATTATCGAATGCTAACAATACAAAAGTATAAATACTTATATACATACATATATTTTCTATACTTTATTTTCTATACGTATATACGTATGTAAAATTTATAAAGAAGGTTTTAATTATATGCGATGTAGGACGAGTGTTTCAACGACGATGATACGTTGATTATTTTTTCCCTGACTCTATTCGAGTCAAATAATAAATAAAAAATCTGCGAATAGAGGCGAACGACGCGCTACTGATACATTGTTACTAAAAATAATCATCGTTACTCGACAGCTTGCATCGAGTTTTGAAATACTGAATATCTTTTCTACACATGTACATGTTAAAATCAGTATAGAGAAAAAAAGGAAGGGAATATACATATATACCATATATAGCTCATTTTTGAGCCACAAAAGGGCCGTGTTATCTTCTTGGCAGCGATATTCGGAAATTGTCGATATTAATTAAAAACTCTGGATGCCGTCGACGTTCACGAAAACCTCTTGATTGGTTTGTATAATTGTCCAGCTACCATTGGCATTCAAGTTGCTAATATTGATGCCTTTCTTCGAGAATGTATTGACGATTTGTGCGAGGTCTTGGATGCCGTTTGCTCGATACAAAGAAACATGATCTCTTAAAGATATTCCATTAGCGAACACCGCGTCATCCAACGAGAGCAGCAGGAGCTCGTTATCGCGGACGGTTCCTGAATAAACAAATTAACAAATCTATAAGAATCAAGAGAAAAAGAATATCGAAAGAAACAAACTTCGAAGGCCTCTTTACCTTTGATTCGATGGTCTGCCACTTGTACGAGAATCGCTTTGCCGTCAAACTCGGCGTGGCTACCTTGAACATCAACGCCTACCTCTCGAGCCAACGTCGGCGCGTTGATCAAGTTCAAGCCGTTTTTGTTTTGGCTGGACAGGATTCCAACCAGAACGGCGGTGTGTACGAATGTTTTTTCTTGCATTCCATTTCCAATCGTTTGACTGCGCACAACAACGTTCGTCTTTTCCTTGGTCAAACGCGCAGCCAACTGGCCGAGCCTCTTCGACAACTCTATCCACGGAGTGTTCTCGTCCGTCATAGCAGCTGTTAGAATTGGAGCGTTTACGATCCCCGTGACTGCATACTCGGATGATTTCCCCGCAAATGCTACAAATTGCTGAGCTATCTCGAGGGCTACCCGTTCCTGAGCCTCGGCGGTACTTGCTCCTGCGACATTCACGAGACAATTGTCGATATTAAAAACTCTGGGTTACCCGATGGCAAATTTGTCAAGTTCTAGAGTAATATTGTAGAATTTGCTGAAATTTGGATGTAATAATAATAATAGAACAAATTCATCGGTTATGAATTTTAATTGCTTTTTATCGGCATTTACCGCATATCAAGAGTATGCTAGAAAGTCGTACGAACTGTAATTTGTAGTTTTGAGAATTGTTATTTGTACGACCTTTCAGCTAACTTAAGTGCACTAATTTAAGGGTTCTTTCGTTTTCCAAATGACGTTAAAAAGAGATAATAATTTTTGTACAATGTTTTCTTTGTTTCCTATGAATGTAACAGTATGGGTACGTTCTTCTAGCATGATCACATCGATATCAATTACCGGTATGTTTTAGCATACATTATGTTTCTACAAAATAATATTATGAGTAGGAGATAACATAATCATGTAAATACAAGACGAGATCAATGTTGAAGTAAAAAATAAAAAAAGAATAGAAATAAAAGCTTAAGAAGATAAATGTGTAAACATCTTATACAAACATTGCAACCTTAGATTAATGTTACAAAATTATTTACAATGTTCATAAGCTAAATGATTGAACAGTGGTTATTCTAAAAATAGTGTTCGATTTGGTGTGAAATTACTCATCAATCACGTTATTTTTGGCAAATTTTATTGTATTTTTGTTATACCGAGATGAGGAGTAGCGACGACTTTGGGATGCGCGATCAGTTCCAAGGTGGTAGGATTTGTAGGTGGTTCTTGGACAAACACGTCCAAAGCTGCACCACCGCAATGACCTAATTTGAGCGAATTTAGAAGTGCTTCCTCGTCCACGATACCGCCACGGGCCACGTTCACGATGCGTACTCCTTTCTTACATTTCGCCAAAGTTGTGGAGTTGATCAGATCTGCAACAATCAACCCAAGAGTAAGCACTGATGAGAATTGATACAATTAGAAATCGATGATACTCGAACAAGTCGATATCAAAGTACTTAGTAAGAATATTTAGCAAGACATATTCTTTGGATAAGATATCCTCACGTTTTCCTAAAATTGCAGCCAGCGTCCTCAAAAGTCAAATGACACACTGGTATTGATATCAATACGATCTCAAACGTGTGAATATCGTTTCTTCAGATTCGAAAGGTCGCAGAGATAAGAAGTTGACTAACTAGTATGATTAGTAATTGTTATCTAATTAGGATATCCCAAATTATTATTAATATAGAATTCTGTAATATAGTACAGATTATACTATAGAATTTGTATAGTATAATCATGTACGTCATGTATAGTCATGTATAGTATGGATTATGTTATCGAATGTTATCCATACTAATATTATAAATGCAAAAGTAACTCTGTCTGTTTGTCTGTCTGTCTGTTACGTTTTCACGGCTAAACCACTGAACAGTTCTTGATAAAATTTGGCAAGGAGATAGATTGTATCCCGAGGAAGGACATAGGCAATATTTTATTTTGATAAAAATAAGGTTTCAGTACGAAATCTCAATATTTGTAAATAAAGAATCGGAAATATTGATTGAAACATTTGTGTTACGGAAAACAAAAGACAGTCACTGACTGAACTGTTAGTCGAATGCAAACGACATAAAATAAATAGTACATATTCCACGAGGGTAAAACCGCAGAGCGCAACTAGACCTTTATTGTGAACAATTGTAGTGACGTCGAAAGTTAATAGAAGCAAAGAATCTGAAGAGACCCCCTGAAGGAGTGAAAAGGGGTTGCAACGTTTATATAGGACACATTTTGTTCGTGGTCGGATTTACTTCATACTTGGTCTTAATATGCTCATTAATACAATTATTTTGCTTTAAAGTTGCCTTATTTCCGTAAATGTAACTCGAAATTTCAAATTTAACATGTAAGTATGTAATATAAAATAAGAATAGTATTTCACGCGGGTGAAACCGCGAGGTATAGCTAGTAGTATAATAAAAGAGTTGTATAATAAAAGAGTAGTATAATAAAAGTTTTCAACTCTGTATAGAACTACTTTCTATACTAATATACTCTACAAGTTTATTTGATTCAACTAAACAATTTTTCAATATTTGTCCATAATATTTTTATCCAAATTGCTTTACTTTACTTTAGAACTGACTCACCACTAGTCTAAGAAAATTGAAAAAAGAAATTTATAGTTCAACTAATAAAATTTATAAAATCGCTTACTTCTCGTTTGAGGAATAAGCGGAGTGTGCACAGTGATGTAATCCGCCTGCGGCCATATCTCGTCCAAAGATAGTTTTTCAACGTCGAGCTTGACAGCCTCAGAGGGAGTCAATATCGGATCAAAAGCGATCACGCGCATTCCAAACGCCTGCATTCTTCTGGCTACTTCGCGTCCGATGCGGCCCATGCCTAAAACGGCCAGCGTTTTGCCAGACAGCTCGAAACCGGAATATAGTTTTCTGTCCCATCGTCCTTCTTTCAGCGCCCGAGCTGCCTGAGCCACATTCCGTGCCAAGGCGGAAATAAGCGCACAGGTTAATTCGCAAGCGCTGATACTATTTCCACCGGGAGTACTGAAAAATGATTCGGTATGGTAAACGTTTGAGTTCTCGATACATTTTTCGACAACTATCACTTCGAGTGATAATAGAAAATTATAATAGATTTCTAATCTATCAATGTTTCGATCTTAACACTAAAACTACCATGGTCAACGCGTATTTATCATACATATAACTGTATCTTTGTAAATAGAGAGAGGATGAACAAACTAATTTATCAATCAAATTGATTCTCTGTTACAATAGTTGTTCCCAAATTTTATAATACATTCAATGTTAATAATCGAGCGATTTTAAGAAGTTTCAAGTTTTACGCAAATACATGATTGTCACATTAACTGACTTCGTAATTTTCGTATTAATTTTAGATTCCACTTTAGAAAAAATATTTTAAATTGGTAATTTTATTTTAGAAAATTATCTCTTAAGAAGTATCGATAGTGGGAGCACAAAAATCGTTCCCAATAGTCATTTAAATAATTGAAAAACGCGAACTTACTTGAGGACGATGACTCCCTTCCGCGTGGCAGCTTGAAGGTCGATGTTGTCGACTCCAGTTCCAGCACGACCCACCACGCGAAGATTTGGGCAACTGGCGAACACATCGCTGGTCACTTTCGTTTCGGATCGAACGATCAGAGCATCGTGATTCTATTACAGACAAATAACAGAGTGTGTTATTGGATTTTAGAGTAAGAAAGAACCTTGTGTGGACGGGCAGAAGTTGAACTTTACAACTTAAGAGGTGAGGGGCACTTGCGAGGTTGAAAAAAAGCACTTCACGAAATTGTTTCTATACTCGGTTGATATATTTTATAATCAGAGTTCCTCTATTCGAGAGATATATGCTTGGAGATACAACACAAAAATTTTCATCCAAAAATATAAAAAATTCTTAAAGATATGAGCAATTTGAATGAGCGTTGAAATCAGAATGATTAAATACTTCATGAGGGGATGAAGCTATCAAAAAAATGATTTTATAAAAGTTATTTGATTCAAAGAGACAAATCATACAGAGTAAATAATTTTGTTGTAAGTGAAGTGGTGATGGAGATTTAACATACAAGTTAATTTTCTTAAATGGAACTTTATATATTTGTACTCATAATATGATAGTATTTGTTTAGACAAATTC